AACTGGGCGGCCCTGCAACTTCTGATCGGCTTCGACGACCTGAGCACGATAGAACAACTGGAAGATGTAAAAAGTGACCCGTCGGGTGCAGCGCGACCAGCGGTGTCGATCAGTAGTACCGGCCGCTCTGGAAGTACTTCGTTAACAAGAACTCTTGTTCTCGAAGAAAAGCAGCGTGATCTTCACTCAGAGCAAGCTCCTTCTCGTGATCACTTAGAAAGTAGAAATCACGTCGCACGACAGGACGGAGGACACCCGAGACGCGGTGGACCACACGACCGGCGACGTACGCAGAACCCGACCTGGAAAACCCGTTTTCGGGGTCCAATCACCCGGAAACGACCCGCTGGGTGTGGCGGCAGCTGCTATTCAAGAAAAACGCGTTCGGGGATACGGCCGGAGATCTGCTGAAACCTCATGTGACGCGTTCCCGTTTGTTTACGGAAAGGCAACTTCTGACCCAACTTTCGCGAATTTTGGAACAAAAAAGGCCTGACCCAACGTTTGTGAGACTTTGAGGACCTGTAAGTTATCTTGAGTACTTCTAGACATCACATTTTTTTTTGCACCATCGCATGTTGACGTACTGCATTATTGGATGGTGCCCGATCATGCTGGACAGAGAACATAACTCAGAGCTTCAAATCCGTTTAATGCCATTTTTTAGAAGAGGTCTTCGCATACGGAGAAGAGCGGAAACAACTTGCTATGATTTTGATCATCATCGCGTCATGTCAAAAATGCGGCGTGATGGTCTCAGTTTTTTGTCAAAATGCCAGCTTGCCTTGTGTAGCGAACCTCTTTCATGTGATACTGTATGATGAGCATTTCTACAAATTCATGAGCATATTAGAGACATCACAAATTCTTGTATCTATACCGAGGCACCCGGCGGTAGGAGAAAACCGTAGTGCTTTTGTAGTGAAAAGCGCTGCAAGTGCAAACAGTCATTGCAGCTTTTTGACGTAGGCTCGATCGCCAACGGAAAGGGACGAGAGGATGTATATTTTAATTTCCAAAAAAGCGGAGTAGTTGTAGGTGTGTACCCACCGCGAGAGCGTGTTTGCTGTCATACTTTGCCGCGCGTGATCTACTCCTCTTCTTCAATAGAACCTGAATGAAAGGCACCAGCAGCGGCGCTGCGTCCGCATTTAGTAATGCAAAGATCCACTAGAAAGTGAGCTCTTTTCGCGTTAAAGGAGGACAACTTTTGGACCGATAAACTATTGACACAACACCGAAGGTGCGAACAACTTGTCTGCTTTCTCTACAATTCTTTCGCCCGACGGGGCTGACAGGGAGCAACAAATCGTGGATTGTTCGTTTTCATGGTGCGATCATCTCTCATGTGCAGGAGTCGTTAACTTGTCGCTGCCGATTTTTTTGAAAAATGGAGCTTGGCCACAACTCGTCGGCATTTGTGTCGTTCTAACAGACACAAAGCAGCACAAATCTTTGCTTATCTCTGAGCACCGTAAAATTTCAGCTGGTCGCGTCACGGCTATCTAGTACGGGGGAAATGGTGTTTCAACATACTTTCTAGATCCCGTTCTCGTCCAGCATTTGAAAATTTTCAAAATCCATGATCCCTTGCGAGCCACTGTAACCACACTGATCGGTAAAATTCAGAAGCAGATCAGAGAGAATAGATCATCATCAAAATGCTTCTTCGAAGATGTTAAAATGTCGCGCTGCTTCTGTACAGAAAGAAAAATCACGTATATCGGTAAGAGACCAAAGTTGGAAAATGGATGCAGTAATAGATCGGTCGGTGCTGCCACGGACGGTTGAGGTCGGCAATGATCTCTAGAGAATTGAAAGGTTCTTTTTCGCAAAAGGGCTCACGCGCTATTGCGGCAGGTCAGATCAAGATGATGCAAAACTTTCGAAATCGAAACAGGATTCTGTGCGGATTTGCAAATCAGATCTCACATAATCTACAATTCATAGATACGTTTTACAGCACAAAAATCAAAAAATCACGTCTAATCATTGCAACGAATTAATGAAAGTGTGTATTCGCATAATTGTAGCACTACAGTCCACCGAAACATCATTTTGACTACATACTTTGCGATAAGTAACAAGTACAGCCTACTCCTTCCTGGCGCCGACCTGGAAGTTTTTCTACAAGTAGGATTTTGCGGAAGAATTGTAGTGGATTTGAAGATCAAGAATTGCAACTCTTGATTTTGTTTTCCTGTGGGAATCGTAACGAACTAAACCAACTTTACTCACAAACTTCAAAGCCGCCGGGCTCAGAAGTTTTTGGGTCGAAAGGAAATATCTGGTAGTCAGAAGTTTCTGGCTCGAAAGTACTATGATTTTTCGCGGCTCGTGGGTTCTCGTGCTCCTGGCCGCCGTGCGGTCGGGGCTGTCCGCGTCGGGCGCTAGCAGTAGCAGTAGCATTCCCGCCGGGCTGGAAGTGGAGAGACCGGCAGCATCACAGTTGCGTGGTGGTGATGGTCCAACCTACACTGATGCAGAAGCGGGTACTGCTTCAGATGGACCGGACTCAGACAGCGAGAGCGGAAGTGAGTTGCACTGGGATTCGTCGGGGAGCAGCGGATCCGAATCTTCGTCCGGAAAATCGCAAACCGGAGGCGGAGCCCCCGCTCGGGCTGGGGGAAATGGTCGCGGTCGGCGAAGAACTTTGAAGACGAGAACTAGGACGGGTAGAAAGCGGTCATCCTCATCAAGTTCGAGTTCATCGCGAAATAAATCACGAACGCAGGAGCGCGGCAGCGCGAGTCGAAGCAGAGCCGCGGGTAGTAGTGGCCGCCCCTCCAGCGATCGTGTTCTTCGTGAGCCGGCGCGTGAACAAATTACGAGTGGTCGTCGGCCAGGTCCAGGTACCTCCCCGGGTCACGACGAGGAACAGCAAGACAAATCCCCGGACGAGCAACAAGGGAGCTGCAGCATTTGTATGGAAGACGCGGCAAACCTGGGGCCAGAGAACGCGTTGATGCAACCCCCAACGCAGATGCGGTGCCAATGCTCCGCGGGCGGCATGTGTCAAGAGTGCCTATACCATATACTCACGGACAGTGCGTACACGAACATGTTGAAGCGTCACGACACAGCGCGCACGGTCCGCCGCGCGAGGAGCGGCGACATTCTGTATCACCGGCTTTCGTACGACGACGCGCTGAGGTGTACGGTGTGCAAAACGAAGTACGCTGCCCCGGCGTTGCACGCCGTCCTTCGGCAATGGATACTCCGGGGCGCGGCGAAGAACAGTGAGATGAAGGATCGCCAGTGGATTCTCGCCCCCGAGTATGTACCCGGCGAACTGAACGAAGACGCGTTCCAGCAGCTGGTAGCTCC